GAATTGGTAGGCTTCCTTTCAATGATTCTCTCTGCCAGGTTGCGTTCTACCAGAATACGAACGCTGGCCTGAGCGTGCATGGTGATGTCGACATTGGTAGAATAGCTGCCACGGATAGAGATTAAGAAATCCAGAATCTTGGCGCTTCATTTGACCAGAGTCCATGTCGAGTTGGTACCTTGCATTCACATCATCTGGCTCCTGCTCTTTTTCGCTCACTGAAGATTTGTTGCAATTACCGAATGTAAACGTAGAGCTTTTTCTGCCGGGCTCTAACGGCATTGCCATCTCTGCCTCCTTCGTTCAGAACGAGTAGTGACTCCGTTGCTGATTAGTTTGTCGCCATTTCGTCGATCTTAGGCAGCCCGTTATCATGCTGTTACGTCCTCAGCTGCCACAGGGCGGTGAGCAGGTTCTGATCGCAGACTTCACAGCGTGTCTCTGTTCCCCGTCAGCATGAGTAGACCTTGGTAACCCGAGCGACGACTAGCTGGTGTTCAATGAGGGCAACACCATGAAGGGCAGGCGGTTATGTTTAACATAGGCTTTGCCATGGTCCCTAACCCTCCTCCTTTTTCGTCCGAACTTTGAACCGGCAGCGGATGAGTTTGGAATCTCCTTAAAAGCAGCTTATTTTTCTAGATATACTCCAGTCGGTCGATCCTTCTTTTCGTCTCCAACTGGCTATGGCGAGAGTAAACTTGGTGGTGGAAGAGAAGTATGGTTTGGATTTCATCAAAGTGTTCGACCGTCGCAGTGGAAGATGATGTTGAACATTGACGGTAATTTTGCTTCGGTGGTGTTCTATTAGTGCTGGCCGTTTTAGTGTTATAAATTTCATAATTAACTTCTATTTTGTTAATCTATGTCTAGGGTTGACAATAACTCAGATTTGTTTCTTGATCATTTCTTTTCAGGCATTTTTGAAGCCTGACTGATTTCTTTCAGTTCCAGTTTACAAAGCAAAGCGACCTACAAATAGTGTTTTGTATATTATGCTTACAGTTACTGTGTCGTTTTAAGAAACGGATATCTGTGTATCGATCGAACTCTTTCATTGTTCAGGTTTGTCGTCACCGCACCATTTCATTTACCACAGTTGTAAGCTTGAAATTCGGTACACGACGATGCTTTCTCGTCTTGTTGAAGGTGCACTAATAGAGTTTCATCTGTATTGGTGAAATTGTTGAATCTCCTATCTGAATTTTCTTTGAAGTCAGCAAACTGTGTAATTGTTTTTTATATCTGGTACTTATAGTTTCTGCCACTGCATTCTATCGTTCGATGCCTGTTATCGAATTCATGGCCGAAGTATTGGATCTACCAGTTCAGGCGTTGGTAGAACGGCGTTCCCTGTCTGACGCGCAGCGTGTAAAATTTACCAAAGAAATCAAAGGTGTTGTCACGTCTTATTCATCTGTTTTCATTACCCTTGCATGTGTTTGATCTTAGGGCTCAAGTGCGAAATAACTCACTGTGGAAATATGCGACGCAAATATCGTGTCTGCAACGTCACTCGACGTCCTGCCCAGACTCAAACGTAAGAAATGATCTGTTTATTCGGCATGACATCACGGTAGTGTGTAAAATTATCGAGCGGTCGTCTCACATGTGGCTTAGACCTATGCAAACAGCGCGTCAGTAGTAGTTTTATGTAAGGCGGTCATTTCTTATCATTGCTTGGCTAGTCGTATATTTTCTCTTCATTGGCGAAGATGAAAATTCTCAGGACTGTCGCATGTACCCTCATTATAAACCTATCGAATGACACGTTTTTGTTGGATTTGAATCAGAACGCTTTTAAAGTAACGTCGCAACAGCAGAACGGCTGCATTTAAACTGAAAAATGTGATAACCGGAAAATACATTTGACAAATTCCCTGTAGCTTCTGCATATATTGCAGCGTGAGTTCTGTCATACTATACATGAAAATATACAGCATGGAATGGAAGCGGCGAAAATCTTCAGGTTTTATACGTTTTATGGTTTATAAGAAAGGGTGTTAGTGGAAAGTATGGAACACCATATTAGAAAGTGTTATAAGCGAGTCAGTAAAAAATTGATTAATCATTTTTCAGTCTGGTCATCTTCCGTGATCATTTTTAAGTAGTGAATTACCATCAGAGTTGAAGGTCATGTTTGGAGATTCCAGATTAAAGGAAAATCACTGTCGCTTGCGATTTTGTATGATTCATTAGGTCGTCTCCAGAAGAGCTGAAAAACAATTCTATCTTGAAGGCTGAAAGAGTCTAAATTGTTTGTGGTAGAGGAAGGTTGTGTAATGTTTTATCTTTCTTAATGTGATTCTCCAACTGAGATGAACTATCGTTGCAGACTTCTGCAGATTCCACGGTAAAATGTGCACTAGCTACGTTAGGTTATTTAAATAATGAATAAGCAGTGCCTATATCGACAGGTTATCTTTTTCTACACTAGTTACTTCCAGGTGATATGAATGCCATGGTTGTAACACGCATTCCTATGCGAATAAGAATAGACAGTGCCAAGTTGTAACAAAGTACATTTTGCTCCGTACCTTAAATTATATTGTACGAAAACGCTACTTCTGGTATTGACGTAAACGTCATCTGCTAGTAGCAAGTTTTTATGATAATTCACCGGAATCTGACGAAGTGACACATGCTAAACCTCACTAAGATAAAGCGGCAAGCTTGTGTTCCTGACTCGAAATAAGGTAGTCTCAGATGGCGCTGAGCAAATTAAAGTGGGAAATTGAGAAAACTGAACGTCGAAATCACAAATATTTCATGCATCCGAGAGCGCCTTACGTAGGTTAATTGTCCTTCGGATAAGGCCGTCCATTCTTTGAATGCAGAATGTTTTTTTATGGTGGCGTTTTATAGTATATACGCATCTTTATTGCAATTATGCATGTTATGTTTTGGCAAAATCTGGTTATGACCTCTGGTTGACGTAGATTTCCTCTTCAACTGGAAAATGGACAAACTATTGAATGTACAGTGGCGAAGTATTTTTTCGACAAGTACCATATTCAGTTGAAATATCCCCACTTACCGTGTTTACAAGTTGGACAAGAACAGAAGCATACATATCTGCCTCCGGAAGTTTGCAATATCGTGCCAGGCCAAAGATGTATTAAAAAGCTGACCGATACGCAGACTTCAACGATGATTAGGGTATGACAAGCCGCACATTTCTTGGCGGCTCGTTTCTCATCTTTGACAGGAGGATTTTCTTCAGGCTACTGCCAGATCTGCACCAGAAAGGGAGCGAGAGATAGCCACATTGGTTAGGAAAGCCGAATTCAATGCTGATCCGTTCGCGCATGAGTTTGGCATTGCAATAAACCCGGCGATGACCGAAGTGAAGGGAAGAGTTCTCTCTGCTCCGAAACTTCTTTATGGTGGAAGGGTACGTTACGTTTTTCTCTTTACTGTTTAACGCAAATAATAATCGCCTTGCATCTGTCTAACCATTGTTGTTATTAATGCGATGAATTATATGATGTCGTTTGTGAAGTTGGACTGTAAGAGAACCGTTTTAGAGCTTAGATTACCCTGATGTAACCTTTTCATTCTTCATGTGACTTTTCATGAGTCTGCCAAGAATGCGAGTCAGCGATACTACAGTCTCATCGTTAGCGTTTTTTGGCCAGTATTTTTTAGCCAGCGCATCCGTCGTGCGAATCTTTATCAAGTATTCCCAGTGTCTCCCAAACATTCACAAAGCCCAGTGGATTTAAAGAAGCGGAGCACTTTGTGAGGATTTGGTAACAAAAAGATATCATTGACGTCTGGGATGCAGATACCGTTCTGCAGGGTCGTGCCTTATATTTTGTACCATCATTTTAACAGATTGCGCTATTTACTGAACAGCTATGCGTATGATAAGATTCGTTTTGAAGTTATTTCAACAGTGTGATCGGCTTTCTGGTGCACATTTAAGCCTGTGTTAAAAGGATTATGTAATTGTTTTCCTTTCGGAAGTTACGTTTCATTCAGCGGTGTAACTTGTTTATTCGGGTTAGCTTCCGATTTTGACCAGGCGCAAAAGTCGCAAACTGCTCCGAGATTGGGTTAGTAACTACGAGATGAATTTCATTCGCTCTGAAAGTGGTCTATAAACTAGTTGAGTCGATAAATTTTTTAGATGAAGTTTGTTTTCAACTTGAATACAGGTTTTGTTTTTAATTGTTAGCGTTACTTTTAGACCAAAGCTACAGCCGTGCCAAATCAGGGAGTTTGGGATATGCGTGGCAAGCAGTTCCACACTGGTGTCGAAATCAAAGTATGGGCAATCGCTTGCTTTGCTCAGCAGCAGCACGTGAAAGAAAATGATCTAAGGTGTTGTTCGCTTGAACAACAGTGTTAATCGCATTACTTGTTTTAGAAACTTTACTCAGCAGCTACTTAGGATTTCTAATGATGCAGGGATGCCAATAGTCGGCCAACCATGTTTTTGTAAATATGCTTCCGGTGTTGACCAAGTCGAGCCTATGTTTAGGTATTTGAAGCAGACGTTTCAGGGAGTGCAATTAATTGTAATTGTCTTGCCTGGCAAGACTCCCGTTTACGGTAACGCCGGTTTGCGTAGTTTGTTGTTTAGTTTATGTTTTATGACTTTCTACTCTAGCTGAGGTTAAAAGAGTTGGCGACACGGTTCTGGGCGTCGCCACGCAATGTGTACAAGCCAAGAACGTTATCAAAACTACACCTCAAACGCTGTCGAATCTATGTCTCAAAATTAACGTGAAGCTGGGTGGCGTCAACAGTATCTTGTTGCCGAGCATCAGGTAACAGCCGCAAGCAGTGTTTTAGGTTGCTAATATGTGGCGGCTAGCAAACGACTCTTTTCAGGCCGAGAATATTTGGAGAACCGATAATTTTTATGGGGGCCGACATAACGCATCCGCCGGCAGGAGATAGCAAGAAGCCGTCTATTTCTGCAGTTCATCTTTACTGTTTTATCATTGTCTTATTCGGTTTCTATTCACGTTGATTCTAGGTGGTCGGCAGCATGGACGCGCACCCGTCACGTTACGCTGCCACAGTTCGTATTCAGCAGCATCGACAAGAGATCATTTCGGACTTGGCAACGATGGCAAAGGAGCTGCTTATACAGTTCTATCGTAGCACTCGTTTCAAGCCAACTCGCATCATACTGTATCGAGATGGCGTGTCTGAAGGCCAGTTTTTTAACGTAAGAGTCGAGTTTCCATCGCGTTTATCGATTGACTATCGGATTTAGGTTCTGCAACACGAGTTGAGGGCAATGCGCGAGGCATGCATGATGCTCGAGCGAGGTTATCAGCCAGGGATCACGTTTATTGCCGTACAGAAACGTCATCATACGCGCCTATTCGCGGTGGAGAAGAAAGACCAGGTGCGTGTTTTGTTTTCATTGCGCCTGTTTCTGATTCGTTTCCTGTTATTTTCTGTTGTCTTCATATCTGTCTTTTCTAGGTCGGCAAGGCATTTAACATTCCACCTGGTACTACGGTTGACGTCGGCATTACTCATCCAACGGAATTCGACTTTTTCCTATGTAGCCACGCTGGCATTCAGGTATTTGTTCAACCGTGCATTTTTACCATTTTTGCCAACACTTAATCCATTTTTAGTTTCATTTCTAGTCTTTTTCTATCGCTTGCAACAAATTTTATAGGCAATAAGTACTTCAAATCAGCACTCGCCTGCATACGCGGCACTGAGTGTAACGCGAATGATAAGGTTTTCGGATGAACGCGTCTCGCTGCTTTAGAAGTCGCTAATTTTTTGAACGTGCTACGGATTTTGATTTGTTAAGCTGAATGATGCTTATGCTGATAGTGGGCCTTGCTGAAAACTCTTTTGTGCACACTAAAATCTTATCAGAATTCTTCTCCAGCTCTTAAATCGTCAAGTAGGTGCCTCTGAGTTAACCACCAATTTTTTGGTTATTTGCTGTTGCGCTGTTCACGATGAACAGAAGTACGAGTTAGTGCAAAAAAGTTTCTTTAAGAGTTTATCTAAAGATAGTTCCATTCGAATTTGTTATGCCTTCAAATGTTTTACATTCGTTAAATTAAGGCCAATTTTATTCATCCTTTGTTTAGTATTTTTTGATTCCTTGTCTATAAGATATTCCAAAACGGTGTCTAGCAGTTGTTTACAGAAACGACCAGTTAGGTAACGTTCTTTATGGAACATATAACTGTATGAAGCAGCACTTCGTTTCTGTAATGGATTTCTGACAGTTGTGTACAAGTATGACAAAATGGAACTTTTAGAAGCGGCATTTGTAGGGCTCCCTAAATTTACATGAAATGTTGATTATTGTCCTTTATACATTTCATACTGCAGTAAAAAAATCTAGCATGACAGTCTTGTAAGCTTCGGCCGCTTTCTGTGGACCGATATTGTCTGTCTGTTGAAAACTACAATCGGTTTGCTGTGTATCACTATACATGTCCTGTACATGCTGTATATGTAAATATAAATCATTTATACCACTTGTCAAGCAGACGTCCTAAAAAAGTCATAGTCAAGTCCGTATCATTGGACGGTCATCTTGAACAATGAAGGTTTGGAAAAGTCAACGTTAAGGGAAGCGTTTTGTAATAAATTCTAGCGGTTTTCGCAGTCCAAAACCTGACAGTTTTCCAATGAAGTACTTGTAGGGTCCTGTCCTTCGCTGTATAAGTAGGAGATTGTGCGAAGTAAAGAGCATAATATATTTCTGAATTTTAAGCTTGTTTCTTTTCTTAACTACCGCTGTTCCTTAATTTGCCTTTTGCAGTTGTTTCTGTGTTAGAATGGACTGAGTGTTGTTGACAAGTTTTAAATTTAGTACCCTAATTTGCTTACTTCTGATTGTCTGTTAGGTTTTGTCTCAGCTCTAACAACATTTCGTAAATGCTTAGTTCGCATATTTGTCAGGTATCAGTAGACTGAGTTATTTACTTTTCGTTTCATAATATCTGTTATAGATGGTTATTGATACATTTCGTCCGTTCGTCACGCACATTGTCAAGTTAGACACAGCTTTGTTTCTTAGTTGTATTGAAAAATGCGCGGTGCGCAGGTTTTACTTGCATGGAATTAAGTTCATTGTTTCCCACTAAGTGCAGTTATTGTAATCCAGTAAACGGAGCAGGTTTAGGTGGTCTTTTTATGGTTTGCATATTTTTTAAGCATGGTAAAATTAACTAATGTTAAGTTATTAGAGTATATTCGATGATGTTGCAGTGACGGCATCAGATTTATTATTCTGATGAATTGACTGAGACGTAGATCTAAGTTATGAAATATCATTCGATATGTAAATTTTTAGCTGATTGGAAAGAGCAAGCTTTAACTGACATTGTCGAACTTTCTCTTTAGTGATATTTAGGCCTCGAAAAGTCACCTATAATTGCAGTTTGTCGAAAACGATGGTTTACATTAGATCCTTCAGGTTCTTTTGATTTGTAACTATCCCAGTGCTAATTTTTTAACCTAATGCTAAGCGATTAGACCTATTCCGTTTTTCACGCCTGCTAGCTTATTTGCTTGTTGATGTTCATATTTTTGTAGTTTTTTGCAGCCTCCGACGAGTTTTCTGGAATATCACAGCATATAAGTTGTTTGTTTACTGCT